GTGCAATCCCCTTTAACTGTGTAAAAATCCCAAGTTTCACAAAATGATTAAGATGGTTGGTGAATTTGGAAGAGGCCTTAATCCTCCCTCTTACCATGAAATATGTGTTACATTATTGAAAAAGGAAGATGATTACACCAAGTCATTAGTGGAAGATTACAAAAAGGGAGTGGAAAAAGACTGGTTGCACATTAATGAGTGATGGATGGAGTGACCGGAAAAACCGATCAATATGTATTTTTTTGTAAACAGTCCTAAAGGGACCATCTTTTCAGCACCAATCGACACATCTAATATTATCAAGACAAAATAACAAGTATTTGCAATGTTAGATGACTTTGTTGAAAAAAAAGGATAGGAAAATGTTGTTAAATTAATGACAGATAATGCTGCAAATCATAAGGATGCTAGAGAAATATTAATGAAAAAGAGGAAGAAACTTTTTTGGACACCATGTGCATCTCATTGCATTGATCTAATGTTGGAGGATTTTGAAAAAAGATTGAAGAACATAAGGAAACAAGCACAAAAAGAAGAAACATAACAAGCTTTATCTATAATAGGTGATGATTGATTATTTATTTATTTTATATAGTGTTTCTTATATTTCTTATAACATCTTTCATTTATAATAGGTCAAGATTAATTTCTATGCTGAAAGCATTTACAAAAGGGAAAGAAATCCTTAGACATGGAGCAACTATATTTGCCACTTCTTATCTTAGACTTGTTCGTTTGTTTGAACTAAAAGGTGCTTTGATTTCGATGTTTGCCTCCGAAAAATGGTCGTCTACTAAATATGCAAGAACTGATGCTGGAAAGAATGTTGTGGATATAATTATGGATCATCTAGGATTTTAGTTATCAGGTGCGATGTGTCTAAAGGCCACGAGTCCTCTAATGAAGGTTCTTCATTTGGTTGAATCATATTTTAAACCAGCCATGAGTTTCATTTCCCAAGCCACAGTAAATACAAAAAATGAAATTAAATCAAATTTTAAAAATGTCCAGACAAGGTATTTGATTTTGTTTCTTTGTTTGTATTTTTAGTCTTTAATTTAAAACCATCTCATATTTCTTGTTTGTATATATTTTTAGGTATGAACCCATCCTTGAGATCATTAACGAAAGATGGTATAATCAACTTAATAGGGCTCTCCATGTCGCGGGTTATTTATTGAATCTAATGATGCAATATAGCCCTGACTTTGAGAATACAAGATGGATTAAAGGTGGATTATACATGTGTCTGGAAAGAATGTGTGGCGATGATGAAAACCTAGCAAAGATGATTGATTGTCATTTTGATCAATTCACTAATGCAAGAGGGCTAGTTGATTTTAATATAGCCAAATTAACAAGAAAATAAATACCTCCAGTTGATGGGTAGGATTCATACGGAGCTGACACACCCGAGTTGAGGAATTTTTCCAAGAGAATTTTGAGTTTGACATATTCCTCATCAGGTTATGAGAGAAATTAGAGTGCTTTCGAGATGTTAATTTATAAGTAACAAGATTATGTTTTTTAATTCTATTTTTATTATATTGTCATGTAAATTTCTAGTTACATTTCTATTTTGTTTTTTAGGTACATTCCAAGAGAAGAAATCGACTACATCAACAGAAGATGAACGATCATGTGTATGTGATGTACAACTTGAAGCTAAATGGAAAAGAAGAAAATAGAGGAAAAGAACATGATTAAACGGAAATTGAAACATTAAATCTTGATGATGTTAATCCTAATGATGAGTGAATTACTGAAGATCAGTCTTTTAATCATTATGTAGATGTAGAGTGGATTAATCCTCTTGATGGTTCAAGTTCAAGTAGGCTGCAAGCGCCTGATGGTGGTAAATATGATGAGTTTCTTGAAAGATCTATAGGAGATCAATTACATTAATTATTAATATATTACATGAATTTATAAATTGACAATGATAGCTTTTAAGTCAATATATCATTTTTTCCGTTGCAGGTACGAGTGGTGGAAGAGAATTAGGAGAAGATGTTTTGGATTTAGGAGACAATGATATAGATGCACCATTAGTTATACTAGACTACAATTGATGGTATTTTGATAGTATTTTTGGGTAATTACTACTGATTTAAACGTTTTGTAACTTTTGAATGGTAAGCTAGTTGACGGGGGATGTAATACTTATGTTTTAAACTTATTATTATGTCATTTTTGCTAGGATATTAATATCCCGATCTTGTAAAGCCAAAAATGATCCTACGTAGGATCCCGATCTTAACAACCTTGAATATAAGTATACTAAAATCCCTAAAATCATGGTTGATCACCTTAAATCATGTGTGTCTGTATCTTCATAACCCTATATCATCATCTTCATTAAACACCACCACAATTATCTTCTTCACCCACCAACCCCTCGTAGCCATCGTCACCATCATCATCTTCTTCTCCACTACATCCCATTAGGGACCACCATTAATCTCCTCTAATTATATCAAGACCACCACAACCACCTTATACCAACAACAAATCTGATCACCAACCCTTCACCTACCATCGTCATCTTTATTCATCACCATCGTGATATTTTTTCACCCACCATTGCTATCTTTGTTCATCATCAACGATTTTGTTTAGCCACCTTAAAGTAAGTTCCCCGATCTTAGGAAACTTTATATCTCAGTATTGGATTATCCACAAAGAAAGCCAAATCCCCTTTGTAAGTTTATGAGTTTTTTCATAAAAAATTTAATTTACATTTTGATTTTCATCGTTTGGAACGGAATTGATTAATAATCATGCACGTATTATATTTATATGAGTACTAATAAAGAGGAAATTTCATACGTTCCTGTTAGATAACTCCATTTCTGAGACGTTCATACTAATATTTATCTTAAAATTCCTTTTCTTTGTTGCATAATATGTTCTTGTTATTTTATTTTCTCATTGTTGGTTTTTTAATTGAATTTCCATTGTAACTATCTAGCTTTTATCCCCTTGATTGAAATTTTAACAAGTGAGTAAGCTTAGTGATTTTGGTTTGAAACGTTAATAAATACTTATTCTACATGCATTCAAAACCATTATGGCAAAATATTTACATAATAAAATAGTCAACATCAATATATACGACTTATGTTTTGAGTATGTGATTTTTGAATTTTGATCCAATTCATCATTACTTTTTGTAACATTCTTAAGTGATATATTGATGTTTTTTTTAGATTCCAACAAGATTTATTTTAAGTTCATTCTCATAAAAGTGTAAACATAAGTTTTATCAAGATTCAAGCATCTTAAGAAGAACGAATAAAAATGACTTTAAAGACAAAATTAAAAATTGATCGTACTCACAGTTTAAGAATGTTATTCTTTAAGAATTGTATTTGTTATTCTTTTAGAATGTTGTTATTCTTTTACATGTAGTTGTTCTTTAATAATGTTATTTATTTATTTATTTTTGTATTACATTCATACAATGTAATTATTTGTAATTTTTGTGTGTATTAAATTTTTCCAAGAATTGTTTTTTATGACAAATAAAAGTTGATATGATCTTAGTTTAAATAATGTTTATCTATATTACATTATGTCAATAAATTTTTTGAAAAAGAAAAAATTGATTTCACATTATAAATATATTATTTGAGAATGCACATCATATTCATTAAAATATTCTTTTAGAATGTCCGAATTAAATGAAATATTATCTTTTAAAATTAGATTTTTAAAACTAAGATAATCAGTTATCTATTAACAGCTAGATTTTTCTTTTTATATATCTAACTTAATTGACTAAAAATACCTTACAAAAATGTTAATTTTATTATATTGTACATATTTTCTCATTATAATATTATACACCTTAAATATTTTTTATGTTTACTTTTCTATAATCTTTTTTATGATTTTACGATCATATAATATATGTTGTCATATATATATATATATATATATATATATAATATCATATATATCTATTATATATATATATATATATATATAGGGTTAGGTTTATTTAAGACGGCCTAATTTTTTGAAACCGTGATACGCAATCCTAGTCACTCATTTTGTAGATAAAAAAAATATTTTTAAAATGCAAAATAATTGAAATTTTTCGAAAACTTTTTTTCAAATATTATTTTCGTCATTTATATTTTCCAAAAGAAAATAAAAAAAATAAAAAATACCGTTTTTTTACATATTCTAGTAGAATATTAGAATATTCTATATATCTGACAAATCTAATAGAATATTCTAACATTCTAAAAATCATATTAGAATATTTACAGTGCAATATTCTATTATAATATTTCACATATTTTAAAAAAAACGGTAATTTTTTATTTATTAATTATTATTTATTATTTATTATTTTTTAATTTTTTAGGTAAAAAAAGTGACGAAAATAATAATTAAAAAAAGATTTTCGGATTTTTCCTTTTATTTTGCATTTTAAAATTATTTTTAGATTGCATCTCACTGTATCACAAAATTAGTATGGTCTCAAATAAACCTGAACATATATATATATATATATATATATATATATATATATATATATATATATATATATATATCTATATATATATATATATAATATATATAGAGGAATGATCATTTGAGAACTCAAAGTTTCCCGAAAACCCGAGAACTAAAGGTGGAGCGTTAGATCAAAATCTTGAATGGCTTAGATTGATCATGACGTAATTGTAATTATCACTTGTTTCGATGGCATCTTAGACATTTTATAAATATTTACAAGGACAAATTAGGAATTAAAAATATCAATCATAATAATCAATTTAACAAAGTAAAAAAAAAACCACACACACAAACACGTGTTTCTCACTTTCTCTATCACCTCTCAGGTTCTTCACGACTCCATCATCCGCCTCCTTCCGATGAATATCTCTCCATGCGATCTTTCCACCACCGATTTCCATCATCCGCCATCGTCGTCGGACCAAATCCGTCGAATCGCATCAAATCCTCAGATTATCAACAGGATGAAGTCAAAGGAATAGACGATTGATTGGGATTGGCATCAAAGAATCAACACATTTGCAATCTAACACAACAAACCAGATCTGCGACGCTTTGTTCTTGGTTGCGATTATCAACGACGCACCGATTTGCCTCACCGTGTCGGAGCAATTACTCTGCATCACGAGCAACACCTTTGTCAATCCATTGTTCCTCATTGCAGATTCCTGAGCCATTCGATCTCTTGACATGTAACACGAGCTCCAGATCACTCTGATTCCGTGATCTGTCACCGCCGGTGATACTTTCATCAGCCAGTGTACGACCACCGTTACACAGTTCTCGTCTTCATAAATCGTCGTCCGTCCTTCGGTACATGTCGACACCATCTCTAGTATCTTCATCACTTTTTCAATCACTGAAATTGTATTTTTTGGACCGAAGAGGATTTTACCAGTGGTTCTCACGATCCCCTGACAGACGAGTTCTTTTTTCGATTGGTGAGATGTGTTAATCTAGACTCGAATTAGTCTTCTAAGGTACATCTTAATGCCTCCTCTGTATATATTCAATCAAATTTTGTTCATCATTAAGCCCAATGCCAAAGTGATAGGTTTTAGTTAGTCCGTTTGATTTGAACTATTGTGTTTCTATGCCTCTGCAAATTGCTGATTAAGATACTTATTCATTCGATTTCAAGAACAGAAAGTGGTGATTATTTCAAGTGATTTTCATACTTAAAAAAAACTTAATCACCTCAAGTGCTTCATCCAGCTTCATCAAGTACTCCTCTGTTGTGGTTCGACTCTGTTGACAGCATAATAAAAATGTGTAAATCCCATTGATGATATATGGTCCATTGGCATGGCCTAGACTGCTCTAGCGCGCCAGCCTGGCCTGGCGCGCTCCTGCCAGCCCTGCCTGGCGTTCCCTTGCTAGCCCTTGCTGGGGACTCCCTTGCCAGCCCTGTTGGGGACTCTCCTGCCGTCCCGGCCAGGCACTCCCTTGCTAGCCCTTGCTGGGGACTCCCTTGTCACCCCTTCCTGGTGCGCGCCCGCCAGCGCTGCCTGGGGCGCGCCCACACCACCCTCGCCCGGCGCCTCCGGACGGCCTTGCCCAGCTCCTTGCTAGTTGGGCCTGAATTGGGCTGGCCCAAGGCCTGACCCAATTCCCCTTGACCTAATTGTCCACTATAAATAGAATAGTGCCTCCTCCTTGGAGGAGGACCCTTTTCCCAGGTGGTTCAGCCACCACTAGACTGCCCCCATGGCTCAGCCGCCACTATACTCCGGCAGGGTGGCTCAGCCGCCACCCGCCGCCGTCACACCACCACTAGCACCAAGATGGTTCTCTCCAGCTATGGAGGACCATCTCAGATCTTCTAGCTGGTCTAACTTGACCGTCGGAGTCCGCTCCCAGGGCACGGTCCCTGGGGCGGCTCTAACGACTTTGCACTGTGATGTCCAGATCTCTGCCGCAGCAGAAGACCAGAAGCCTTGCCGGAGGTCGATGTCGCATCATTTGGCGCCATCCTGGACTCGAACGAGCATAAATCATCTCGTTCTTGCCTAGATCTGCTCAGATCTGTCGTTTCAGCTAAGGTTTTCCTCAGATATGTTCATTTCTAGCACCATTTAGTTCAGATCCGTTTTGGCTTTGACCAAGATCTGTCCAAATCTGATTATCCACTTCTCAGATCTCTTGATCTGATGTGTTCTATCGTTCAGACCTCCTGATCTGCTTAGTATTTTTGTTCAGATCTATGGATCTGTTTCGTTTTAAGACTAGATCTTTGGATCTACCTTAGTTTTTGTTCATTCAAGCATTTTTCAAGTTTACAAGGACATTTCAGATCAGTTTCATCTTTCTTTTTAGTGACCCATTTAGCAGGTTGGGGAGAAAAAGAAATTTGTATAAGTTTATCCTTTTATCAAGTTCATATTACTAGAAAATTGTTTTTTAGTTAGGATTTTAAGACTTTATGTGAATAACTTTATTTCCTGCAACATCTACTTGTAAACAAATCTGGGATGTTTGTTCATTTCAAAAAAAAAAAAGGGGGAGGGGGTTTATGAGAAGAAACCTCATCAGATCCGTTTTTGTTTACATCTGGGGGCTTTTTCAGAAAGTTAGAGAAGAAAAGAAGTTTTCCATGAGTTTTAACCCATCTTTTATTCATACATCATCTGGAAATTCTTCTCTAGCTGTGCATTTTTGTATACACCCTTACCCACTGTAACAACCATTTGTACATTCGGCCATATGACTTGTACATTTTACAAAACCTTCAGAGAAAAAAAGAGAAGGGAGGAGAAGTTTTGATAGGTTTTAACCCACTTACACTTTACATATTTCTAGAAAACATTTTTTAGTTTATGATTTATATTACAAGTTTAGGTTATGTTGCTGTGATTTTTATATGTTTCAAAACCAGTTAAACCATATTTTTTATCTCAAAGTTTTACCCTATTATTTTCAAAGTTTACTGGTTAGTCAGAACAAAAAAGAAATCGAAAAAAAAGAGAGGTGTAGAGATAGATGATACGAGAAAATAACCATCAAAAGAAGGAAAAAGGAGCGTACACAGAGTTCAAGAATGGTAACTCTTTTTTACCTCAACACAAAAAAAAAAACCCAAGCTCAATAGTTGTGCATATTGCTGTTTGCGTATCTTGGCCAACGAAAAAGAAAAAAAAAGGGGGGGGGGGGGGGGTAGGGGTAGTAACCAGCTATACCTCCTACACCTATTACATACACCTTCACTCCTTTTTTCCTGTGCTATTACATTTTCTATGGGTCCCACGGTACAAATACAAAGCTATCAAAAGTCAACTGAAAAGACAAAGATCAAGATTGGGACCCACCAGGTCCATCACTGCGTCCTAGCTGTCCTGACATCTCGACTTCCTCCCGTCGTCGACTTCAACATCGAAACAGTCTCATCGCAGGACGACAACCACCGTAGCTGGTCGTCGATTACAGTTGACAGCAATCGCATCCTCTGATGCTCGATCGTCGACAGGAGCCAAAGCCAGCGCATCACCGGGCGACTATCACCTCATCATGTCGCCGACACTAATAGATCAGTACCAGAACCACGAAATTACAAGAAAACTCGGACGCCCAACCACCATATCAATGTCTTCCAACTGGCGGTGATTTCCCTTCAAATCTCACCAACCTGCAACTATCGTTGGCCGCTAGTCTCCGACACAGCCTCAATGGCTTCGGAACCAAAGCCCCCGACCACTGAGCGCGTTTCAAACATCACCGGTCAATTTCAGAACCATCAATCATCGTCATCATCAGGGAGGAGAAGGGTCGTCGGTACCATCTCCAATTGCAACACAGTAGAGCCATCGGACCACCACAGGGATCGGGGCCTCTTGCTTCCTCGATTCGTTGCCGCCCGTCGACCACCTCTGCTCCGATCTCCCTTACACTCGGTGTCGCCAACTAAATCGAGCTTCGTATCTCCTCCTCAGGTCACGAACTCCGACATCGAGACCATTCGTTACCCACCTTCTTCCAGATACGACCTTTCACCTTCGAGTTCATCAAGAAGCGCATAGTGGCGTCTTTTTCTCAATTCGTTTCACGTACACAACAGAAACAAAATCAGGGCACTGGCCCATATTCCACAAATGGCTCCAGCAGATTTATATTGGGCTGGTCATTTTTTAAGTGGGCCCGCAAATGAATGAATGGATCGAGATTTTATTTTGGGCTCAGCAATTCTATTGGGTTTCTCACTCAAATCAGTTTCTAGAGCTAGCTCAACAATCAAAATGGATATTTCTCACAAGACAAATCTTAATGGTCAACCGCAGTACCTGTTTGTTGAGATCTCGTCCAACAAAATCTGACTTTATAAGATACATCACAGCCCGGATCGACTCAATTACCCCAAAAAAAAAAAAAAAAAAAACGAACGAAACGTCGACTTTCTTATTATTTCAGCTGGACTATCATTCCTCTTACAATGGACTCCTTAGATCATGAGAATAGGGCCCAACAACTCAACGAGTTTCTTTCAGGCTTGTCATTACATTGGGCCACTTTAAGAATTAACGTGGATCACTTTTATAAGATTTTTTTTTCAAACTCTCAACGAACCAAGGCGACAATGCCGATAAAAGAGAATTATGTTTTTAAAGAGACAAGTTGCGCCTCATACCACACAGCGTTTCAAAAAAAAGGAGGGAGAAGAGTAGTGCATCACTACTACTCGTGGTGTATTTCAGAATAACCCTCAGCAACTATGTTGTTCGGCTATCAGCAGTCATACTGCTTGGATCTCAGTAGTCGTGCAGCCCGCCCCTCAGCAGCGATGCAACCCAACTCAGCAGCCGCAAAGCCTAGTCATCAGCAGTCACGGTGTCGGACCAGCAGTCACGCCACTTAGCTTTCGGCAGCCGCGCTAACCAATTTTTGTTAGTACTTGGGTCGCCTAGCTCTTTCCAGCAGCCATGTATCTCAGCTTTCAGCGGCTATAGATCCATCTTTCCCTTTCTTCGACTCCTCCAAGAAAGGGGGGGGGGAGGGGAAGAGTTGATACAACACTACGCAAAAGTGATTTTTATTCTGAAGGGGAAGAGTTAAAGTACATGTAGAACTGACACTATACATGATGGTGCATCCCCGAGGTGGCATTGGTATTCTGGATTGAAAGAGTAGCCTCGTGGTCCAACTCTCGGTAGTCTTGTTGCCCAACTCTCAATAGTCGTGTTACCCACCTATCGCTAGCAGCTCGCTGCTCAGGCCTCAACGGCCCTGTCGACCAGCCCTCAACGGCAGTCTCGCTACACACCTCCTGACATCAGCTCAACTGTCCAGCTCCCAGTAGCCTCGCTGCATGGCTTTCGACAAAGTCGTTAGAAGATGAGGCATCAATCGTTACTACAACTAATGATGCAGCAAAGCATCAGGTGCCATTCCGCTTTAACCCAGACTGATCACACGAGCTAGACACATAGATTGTAGGGCGCTACGCCCAATCATGCGAGGTTCAGTACCTTCGCCTCGAGTCGCCTGGCTTCTCAGCCCGACTCCATTATAGCGGCACGCTCCGCATGCAAGGTTCAACACCCTTGCCTTGAGTCGCCTGGCTTCTCAGCCCCAAACCATTATAGTGGCACGCTCCGCATGCAAGGTTCAACACCCTTGCCTTGAGTCGCCTGGCTTCTCAGCCCGACTCCATTATAGTGGCACGCTCCGCATGCAAGGTTCAACACCCTTGCCTTGAGTCGCCTGGCTTCTCAGCCCGACTCCATTATAGCGGCAAGCTCCGCATGCGAGGTTCAGCACCCTCGCCTTGAGTTGTCTGGCTTCTCAGCCGGACTCCACTATAGCGGCAAGCGCCGCATGCGAGGTTCAGCACACTTGCCTTGAGTCGCCTGGCTTCTCAGCTCGGCTCCAGCAGCATGCTCCGCATACGAGGCTCAAAGGCTTGCAACCTTTGCCTATATGATCCTACGCGACGCTCTCTCGCGTGATTTACCTACGATCGTTGGCAGCTAAGCCCGATCCATTCCACGCGATGTTGTCCCGCGTGCTGTATCTATGATCGTTAGCAGCTAAGCCCAATCCATCCCACGTGATGCTCTCCCGCGTGAGGTATCTATGATCGTTGGTAGCTAAGCCCGATCCATTCCACGCGATGCTCTCATGCGTGATGTATCTACGGTCGTTGGCAGCTAAGTCCGATCTATTCCACGCGACGCTCTTCCGCGTGACTTATCTACGATCGCTGGAAGCCAAGCCCAATCCATTTCGCGCGTTGCTCTCCCGCGTAACATCTCCATGATCATTGGCTGCTAAGCCCAAGCTACTCTCCTAAGTCGCGCACCATAAGTCGCGCATCACAAGCTTATTCCACACCGTGATCTTGGTGCTTCCTCTCTCACAGTCATCATGGTTCTCTTATGCTCGGACGATCGATGAAGTGTTATCTACGTTACACCATGCTATAGTGAGGATACTCTCCAGCAAGAAGGTCCTCCCGACAGTGGCCCTGCTACCTATGACCCCACAGCATCTCTGTTTCCTGGCTCTCGGAAATGGTCTCGCTGTGCAACCCTACCTGTAGCCTCGCCGCGTACCCCAAAGCACCTCTGTTTCTTGGCTCTCGGAAATGGTCTCGTTGTGCAACCCTACCTGTAGCCTCGCCGCGTACCCCACAGCACCTCTGTTTCCTGGCTCTCAGAAACGGTCTTGCTATGCAACCCCAACCTATAGCCTCATTGTCTATCCCTCAACAATTCTGTTGTCTGGCTATCGACAATAGTCTCGCTATGTGACCCTCGCTAGCAACCTAGTCTCACAGCTCTTGGAATCTCTTCCACTTATATCATGGTCAACAACCTTACGGTTTATTGGTTTGACAACATAGTCTGACACGGCTACCTACGCTACCCACATCAGACTTGGGGGAATCCAGCTAGGGGTAGCCCGAGCAAGAAAGACCCTCAAGACGGTTATTAATGCAGACTATGTAGATGGTTACTAGTGACATCCCATCTGCGCATGGATACCACAACAATTACGTCGGATAACAGTCTCAGGGACTGTATGGCAAGGTTACGGTTCTTAGCTACCCCGGCCCAACATTCCATCGACATCAGTGTCGTGTAACACTCTTTAGCAGCCTCGGTCTGCATGATCGCAACAACAGTTACGTTGCATCGCACCGATCGACTCGCGCTCCTCTCAATGAAGGAGTATCAAGTCATCTCAAGCTACGTATGCAATGCTTGGCTCATCGCACAACCCCACGACTCTCGTGGGCGAGGTTCGGTCGTTCTCTCTATTATTTAATGCTTTGGTGCTTTATCTAGTCCGATCCGATTGTCAGCAACCCAATCGCATCAGACTAGGGGGACTTGACGACACACAGTTTATATGACTAGTTCCAGTCCGATGTCATTGGCCGCGTACCAATAACACCAGACTGGGGGGACTTGATGATATATGGTCCATTGGCATGGCCTAGACTACTCTAGCGCGCTAGCCTGGCCTGGCGCGCTCCTGCCAGCCCTGCCTGACGTTCCCTTGCTAGCCCTTGCTGGGGACTCCCTTGCCAGCCCTGCTGGGGACTCTCCTGCCGTCCCGGCCAGGCACTCCCTCGCCTGGCACTCCCTTGTCACCCCTTCCTGGTGCGTGCCCGCCAGCCCCGCCCGGCGCCTCCGGGCGGCCTTGCCCAGCTCCTTGCTAGTTGGGCCTGAATTGGGCTGGCCCAAGGCCTGACCCAATTCCCCTTGACCTAATTGTCCACTATAAATAGAATAGTGCCTCCTCCTTGGAGGAGGACCCTTTTCCCAGGTGGTTCAGTCACCACTAGACTTCCCCCATGGCTCAGCCGTCACTATACTCCGGCAGGGTGGCTCAGCCGCCACCCGCCGCTGTCACACCACCACGAGCACCAAGATGGTTCTCTCCAGCTATGGAGGACCATCTCAGATCTTCTAGCTGGTCTAACTTCACCGTCGGAGTCCGCTCCCGGGGCACAGTCCCTGGGGCGGCTCTAACGACTTTGCACTGTGATGTCCAGATCTCCGCCGCAGCAGGAGACCAGAAGCCTTGCCGGAGGTCGATGTCGCATCACCCATAATAAGCACAAACAACAAAATTTATAGAACAAATAATCAACTTACAGGATCTTCAACTGGCTGATCAATGTATCCCTGGCCTCATAATCCTAATAAAGAAATGAAATGGAAATATAATTAATTTAAGTTCAAACTTGAAGTTTAAGTTATATGATTTAGAAGAAGGCAGCTCACAAGTGGATGGATACTGTATGATAGTATTATACCTAATATTTTGATGCATTAGTTCTCTTTTTACCAACTGCAGACTTCACTGAGGAAAAGCTTGAGCTGCTCCTCTTTGCTGTGAAAGATCTGAGAAAGTCATTGAAGGATCAGGGATCTGATCTGATGATCAGGTTCGGGAGGAAAAAATTTGTAATCCAAGATCTTGTAAAAGAGGTTGTTACCTTAAGGTTTGCTTGATATGAATTTTTTGGTTTGAACTCTAAGGGGCGGCTTTCATTACCCAACCACTCATAATCAATTCATCACCTAGGGTTAAAACAGGTCAGAGTTGCAAACATTTACACACAAGAAGAGGTTGAATATGACTTACAGTTGGTAATTGAGAAGGTTAAAGAGAACTTGGGCGACATAAAGAGCCCTAAAGTATCTCTATGGAATAGTCCCTTTTATGATATCAAGGTATATCTTTCACTTCATCAGTGCTTTGAAGGATCATTCACTTCATCAGTGCTAGTTTGCAAACATTGCATTTTGGATTATGCTGATGTAATCTAATCTTTCCAGAACATTATGGACATCCCATTGTCATATGACGAGTTTCAACAATTAAAATTGTCCATACATTCACCTCTTTCATCCCCAAAGTTACCTGTCATGGCAACAAATTTAGCATGGGGTAAGTAATATGGTTCCTATATGAGAAACTAAAAAGTTCTGGTATTTAATTTGTTGTTTTGATATAGAAATTTTATTTGCTTCATGATCCAGGTGCTCTACCAACACTGAATGATTTGAAGGGATTCATAGAAGAGAATCCATACAAATCAAAAGATAGTTGGACTTCCATCAAGAACAATTCAGCCGAATACATAATGCAGAATGCTAGGATTCTTGCATCAAATGGTTTGACTAGTCAAACCAATTTGATGCCCCTTACTAAAACTAACAAGAAACGATTGAAAAAGTCAGCATTCATAACAAAACAAGGAAATGTTATTGGAGGTGGGACAAATGATGTGCTTAATGCATTGTCTGCGTATCTAAAATATTTAGAGGGTACTACACGCGATGATTGGCAGGAGTATGTATCATTCTTTTCTTAGATCTTTATGCAGTTTTTTATTTAAATAAATGTTTTTTTTAATAAATGCCTTTATATATTATTGCAGGGTGCATGAAAAATTACGTGAGGCTGACACCCGTGAAGGAGCCTCATTTGGTGTTCTTTTTGGACCTTCCCTTCAGCTTGGAATAGTTTCTAGAAGGAGAGTGTATTATGAGACTCTAAAATATGAAAAAGACAGAAACGGTGGATTTCTGTCACCCTTTGGGTACTCAACTGCCACCATTGCTGCAGCAGCTGGCCATGTTCTCTCAACAGATGTATGCATTTCCACTATTGCCCTCTATCTTGATGAATCTTTATTCCAAATTTGTGACTTTTTTTTGGCAGTGGTATAGTCTATTGGCAATTAAGAAGTCAACTTGATTCAACTGAAAGATATTCTATTCGGTACTGGAAGTGGAATGGTTATCTAATACAGGCTAGTTTAAAAAACTAATCTTTGAACTTTCTATACAGAATTTGATTTTAAAAAACTCTAATGGAATTTTCTTGTTTTTTTTAGTATACTGTTGTGGGAAGTGAAGGTCCTGCAATTCTTCTTGTGCATGGTTTTGGTTTAAGTTATATGATTTAGAAGAAGGCAGCTCACAAGTGGATAGATATATGGATTGTACATATCCAGAATGTAGAATCTTCCTACAAATAACAAGTAGATACAAATGAGTTGACTCAGTTGGTGATATGGAAAAAGAAGAATAGGAAACAATAGCATACTGTCATCTGAAAAATCCTTTTCGTGGCCATTTCCTTGATGAGCATCCAGATCAATTATCATAACCCTGCATACCCTTTTCAATAATGCTACACTCACACCCAATAGCAACCCCAGTAATGTAATCATCAAAACTATTAATATACTTTCACTTATAATGTTGTTCTTTAATTCAAACCCACATTTGGAACTTAGATTTGTTTTGTTAAAAACCCATCTCACACCCTTTGCTGTCTCCACCCCAACTATGAATGAATATGCAACAAGAAACAAACCTGCAAAGAAAAGTACCAATTAAGCAATTAAGAAAAGCATGAATGAAAGAAGCAAAGCTTGAATTTACGTAATATGCAGTGGAATTAGCTAGAAGAAATCCAAGAAAAGAGAAAACCCATTGACCATTGACACTAAGCTCGAGCATTTTCTGATTCCAACCATTGAATGTGGTCAAACTCCCTAAGTAACCCATCAGCAAAATTCTTAATGGGTGAATGTGCACATCAGCAATTTGAACCCATCAAATGATGACTGGATTGGAGTTTTCTCCCCTGCCAATTTCAGGTTCTTATCATTTGTATTTTCTAGTTTTGTCAATTTGTTTATTATATTTATAGCATCCTACTTCCATTTCTTAATTAATTAATAAAAAATGCATTGCTATAATTACATATATTTCTTAAAGTATAATAATTTTAAGAACATATTTTTTGTCCCACCTTTTTAGGTGGGACAAAAAGCTGTAATTTTTATCCATCTTGGGATAAAAAATAGACCTGATAGTCTATTGTTTTCAACATTCAACTTCCTTCCCTGAAAACTCAAGAGTCAGCCCTCCGTATTTATGCACTACGCCTATTAAGGTTTGTTCTTTTATTTATGACATGGGTCCTAGATAGTTTTTGGATGTGAATTTTAAAAATGAGTAATCATTTGCTAAAAGATCAGGATAGTTAGGAAATTTTACATATATCTCAATAATTAGTTATCTTGCAACAACTCGTTACATTATTATCCAAATTCAATTATTTTGTCGTATATAATATCCATTGTATTAATTTAGATGTGATTCATATATTTACATGTGAATTATATGTGATTCACATGTAGATCATATGTGATTCACATGTAAATCTCATGTGATTCACATATTAATCACATGTAAATTGCAAGTGAATCACATAGGAATTACATGTAACTTACATGTAATTCACATATGAATCACATGTAAATCACAAGTGAAACACATGAATTACATGCGATTCACATGTAAATAACATGTAATTCACATATGAATTACATGCGATTCACATGTAAATAACATGTAATTCACATATGAATTACACGTGATTCACATGTAAATCACATGTAATTCTCATATGAATCACTTGTGATTCACATGTAAATCACGAGTGAAACACATATGAATTACATGTGATTCACATGTAATTCACATATGAATTACATGTGATTCACATGTAAATCACATGTAATTTACATATGAATCAGATGTGATTCACATGTAAATCATGAGTGAAACACATATGAATTAAATGTGATTAACATGTAATTCACATATAAATTACATATGATTCACATGTAAATCACGAGTAAAAAACATATGAATTACATGTGATTCATATGTAAATAACATGTAATTCATAATTCACATGTGAATTACATGTGATTCACATGTAAATCACATGTGAATATCACATTATATAATCACATGATATAATCTCATGATATAATCTCATGTGAATCTTAAAAGATACAATCACATGATAGTTAAAAGATACACATTATATAATCACATGATATAATCTCATGTGAATCTTACATGATATAATCTCATGATATAATCTCATGTGAATCTTAAAAGATACAATCACATGATAGTTAAAAGATACACATTATATAATCACATGATATAATCTCATGTGAATCTTACATGATATAATCACATGATATAATTTCACATTTTAATCTTAAAAGATACAATCATATGTGAATTTCACATTATACAATCACATGATATAATCTCATGTGAATTTTACATGATATATACATGTACATTTTTGTGAGTGTTCTTGCATTAATCATTTTTTTTTTAATTTTCTTGTAGAATTTGAAGAATTTGTGGAAAATATTGAAGAGGTAAAAAGTGATAAATTGAAGAAAATATGGAAATCTTGATATGGAGAAATGATAGTATTATGAATCGTTGTAGTTTTTTTTTTTTATTTTACTTTGTATTGAATAAAATACTTGTATTATTATGTTTATAGATTGATTAATAAAATTGAGATTTTTTATGATTTAATTCATTTGAAAAAATATTTATATATGCACTTAAAACGTTGATTTCTTTTTTCTAAAAAATTAGAGTTTTTTTTAAATATTATAGTTTTTTTTAAATATACTGATTTTTAAAAATTTACTTTTTAAAAAAATGCAGTTTTTTTTGGAAAAAATTGCAGTTTTTTCTTTTAAATTGCAGTTTTTTTTAAAAAAATTGCAGTTTTTTCTTAAAATAATTGCGGTTTTTGTGTTTGAAAAAATGCAGTTTTTTAAAAAAAAATTGCAGATTTTTTTTTTTGAAAAAAAATGCAGTTTTTTTTGGAAAAATTGCTGTTTTTTTTAAATTGCAGTTTTTTTGAAAAAAAAAATACAGTTTTTTTAAAAAAAATTGCAGTTTTTTTCAAAAAATTGCAGTTTAAAAAAAATCATTTTTTTTTGAAAATTCATTTTTTCTGAAAAAATTAAAAAAATCTCCTTTAAAAAAAACGAAAATTATTTTAAAAAAAAAATATGAAATTTGATTTATTATGTTAATTTTTAGAACTTTTATTAATCTTTCCAATAACAAAAAAAATTAAACATTAAATAAGATTTGTAAGATGACGATCATGTCCTTAATGAATTAATTTCGATCTAACGCTCCACTTTTAGTTTTCGGGTTCTCGGGAAACTTTGAGTTCTCAACCGATCTCAACTATATATATATATATAGATATATATATATATATATATATATATATATATATATATATATTATATATTACTCGATTAATGATTGATTCATATTTTATGTTTGTGCAAATATATTACCATTAAATAAGTACGTATTGTTTTTTAAAGTTTATTTCATTTATAAAACAATCACAATAATAACAAAGCCATCATGCAAGAAAAAGGCTTCTAAAAATAGGTGGTAACATTTATGTGGTTCCACCAAATCCTCTCTCATTGTCTTATTAGTATCTTTCATGATTGGTTGCTCCCATGTGACCATGCTTCCTCAAAACATATATGATGCTGAAATTAAATATCATAAAAATATTTACCATTTTAATTTTATTGGGAGCTAGTTGCTTATCTAAAATTACTATTAAGAGTGAATCTATAACTTATCCTACATTTTGTGAACGATAATAAACTAAATCACATACAAAATAAATTAAATTAATAAAAAAAAAATTGATTTTCGTAAAACACATTAACTGATTGTTGTTAAAAGCTTTTAAGAAAAAATCGCTATTTAAAAAGTGGCTATATTTTAATGTTGTATTTAAAAAAAAAAAAAACAAACATAATTGTAAATTTATCTGATTTTAAATATTTTCTTTTACTTGACCCATTATTAATAAATTTATAATTCAATTATCAATTTGTTATTATTAAACATATGTATAATTAGTCTATTTAGTTGACTAGTGATCAATTATTATGAATATCAATATCAATTCAATAATAGGTTGATTGATTTACGACAATCATATTTATAAATATAGAAACTCCACAATAACTATATCAATTAATTAATAAGATGAATAGTTGATTAATTTACGACAATCATCTTTATAAATATAGAAATTCCACAATAACTAAAAAGAGATTCTAAATCATTGATTTCGATAAATAGGACTGGCGTACTTACTTCGTTGTTTAACCCCTTTAAAATTGATCATGATTGAGCATCTACAATGTATCAGAGGTGTAATGTTTATTTGGAGTTTTATCAATTAAACTCATTGAACTCAACCATACAAAGATGTTATATGCCCTTACTTGAATATTGAGTTTAATAGGAAAAAGAAAATATTTTAATGTTTAAAATAAATCTTTCATTGAACTTTTGTATATTTCAGTTTATTATAGGAGGAAAAATTATATACATACATGAAAAATAAATTTATAATGTTACAATCCGTTAAACTCTATAAAACTCAATGCATTTTAATATCCAAACACTGACACAGTAACATTTATTTATATTTACCAGTTGAAGCCCCCGCGGTGAGAACCTTATGGTTGAGATATAAAATTCCATACAAGAAGTCCATGCTTCAAAGTCGGTATGAGATTTACCATTTTTGTCATACTTCCACACATTAACACATGCTAAAATCCCCATATATACAATATTACATAAATAAATCAATAAATAAATAAAAGATTTGCGAATTCAATGACAAAATTAATTACCATATAAAACAATCAGTTAAAGTTGCATTAATAAAAAAGTGGACCCCCATGCTATGATTAATAACAAACATGTGACATGCTCTGAAAAAAGTAAATGTTTGAGACCCAAAACAATCATTCCTAAACATACCTTTCAAGTTTTGGGCCATCATTTTCTTGCATTGTTGTCATTGTTAAAAATTAGTAATAAGTACATATATATGCATCTTAAGTGACAACATCATGTGCCCTCTTCATACCACAACCCATTGTTCACATGTCTTATTTGGGTATGGTTTCATATACATAAATACTTTTAAGAAAAAAAACATAGTTTTGATCACACAAAACGTTATACGTCCATCTCATAAAGAATGTCATTTTCTGTAAGAGAATGT